TCCCGCCACTCACCCGCCCGCCGGATTTAGCCCTCTCCGCCCCCTGCCCAGCCCCCACCCACGGAACGCAGTGCCTTCGCGCCCGCGCTTGGCCCGCTCCCTCCACGCCCGGGGCCACACCGCCTAGCACGCTTCCCAACCCCGAAAGGGCGCCTGATATCGCCCCATTCTCTAAGTAGGGAAACTGAGGGACAGGGAGAGCAATTTCTAGCGGGGCGCCGCAAAACCGGCAGACGGCTGACCCAAACACCCAACTGTGGAGTATTCAAGCTTAAAAATTCTCAAACCGATGGATGTTTTTTATTTTGAGCTGCATTTTAAAAAAATTAAATGCCAACAGTTAAACATTAGGAGAGCCTGTATAAAAATCCACATGGCCAGCCTCTTGAAAACTGGCAAACTGGGGCTGGCAGCGCCACTGGCGCCACATCCCTGCCTGGCACTGCCCCCAGCAGGTTCTTTTGTGGCCCCCAAGGCCACACACCTGAGCTTATCACCCCTGCACCCTCACAATTGTAAATCCTGAAGGTATTGTTTTGTAGAAGTATTTATTGAGTGCCTCCTGGGAGCAGGCCCTGAGACGGGCACCAGGTACAGTAACAAATCAGAGACCCAATCTGATGGGTCTGTCCTCCTGGAGCCGACATCCTACTGCGTGGCCCTGGATTCCAATGTTCCTTCTGCCCCACTGAGCCAGAAGACACTTACTTAGGCCAGTGCCTTGCCTTCCCAGAGCCTGTTTCCTTAACTGTGAAATAGGGCTAAAGCATAAAACCAAAACCGGTCAAAGACCAGGCATGGGATGCCAGGAGGTATACGGTTGGTGTGGGGTTTACAGTTGAAATGCACAATATGGTAATATTGTTCAGTGTAGGAGTGTTCAACCAATGTAGGGATATGTAGTAGGTACAAGGGTACCGCCATCATGGGGCACAGTCAGTGTGGAGTCATATAGCAGACATGGAGGTAGACAATTGCCATGGGGGTGTTTGCAGTGTGGGATATACAGTAGGAGTGGAGGTATACAGCTGGTGGGAGGTATACAGCACGCACGAAGTTGCATAGCCAACGTGGGGGTATACAATCAGTAGAGGGTACAGAGTCAGCTGGCTGTACCCCCCATACCAATCGTCCACCCCCATGTAAACTGTAATATACTCCTTTAATTTCACTGTATCTCCCAGCAGCCATTGGGGCCAGTTGTATACAGTATAGTTAACTGCATCCATCTGGCATGGGGGTATGGTCAGTGGGAATATATATTTATTGGGCATACAGTTAGCATGGAATTATACAGTGTGGTCAAATACAGTTGGTACTCAATAATTACAGCTGCTGCCTCAGAGCCAAGCAACGTCCCCTACCCTCCACCCCCATACCTCTCTGATCACCCCACCTGACCCTGGCCCACAGGCTTCAGCAAACAGGCGAGGCCTGAGGGCCCAAGCCATGCCCTTGAATGACCAAGCCTCCCAAAGAAATCTTGCGGTTCCTAAGTCCCTGCCAGCTCAAAGGCCAGCTAGTCCCACCCCACCCATTCTGAGCAGTGCCCAGGCCACAGCTTCTTCTCTTCCCAGATACACTAGGTCCCTTGGGGATACTCCTGCAGACTCAGGACTTCAACGGCCGGCCAGGTCCGTCCCGATGATTCCCAAATGTCAGTCCCTGGGGAGGGACTGGCCTCCTGAGCTGCATGCCCCTGTGACACCTGCCTCCCAGTGCCCCACAAGGGGTTTTCATGAGCATCTCACACTCAGCACTGCCAGCCGAGTCCCTCCCTGATTGTCCCCCAACCTGCCTCGACTCAGAAATGGCAGCTCCATTGTCCAGAGCACTCAGGCCAGAAATCTGGGACGCCTCTCTGCTCAACATCAGCCCTGCATTCAGAATCTACCCAGAATCCAGCCATTCCTCACCCTTGTCACATCTCCTGCCTGGACCAGTGCAGGTGTCTCCACCCTGGTCTCCCAGGCCACATCCTTACCCCACACTGTCTGTTCCTTCCACTGTGGCCAGAGGAGCCTGTCAACGCCTGAGTCAGGGTACGTCTCTCCTCTGCCCAGAACCTTCCATGGCTCCTACCTCACTCAGAGGAGAAGCCCAACTCTTCACCATGGCCCACAGGCCAGGCCTGCTCTGCCCTCTCCCCTCACCGCCCTCACCTCCTCCCTCTCTCCCTTTCGCTCATTCCAGCCCAGCCTCACTGGCCTCCTGGTTACACGAAAAACTCCCCAGGCATGGTCTCGTCTCAGGACCTGTGCACTTGCTTCCTCTGCCTAGAAAGTTCTCTCCCAAGATATCCACGTGGCTCCACCTCTTTCAGGCCCCTGCTCAAACAACACCTCCCAGGAGAGGCTTTCTCCCACCATTCTAAAATGGTCCCCTCCGAGGTCCCATCACCTTATTTCGTTCCATATCACCACCTGTCGACAGTCACACATTTCCACATTGATGGTTGTCTGCCCACATATCCACAGGCAGGGATTTATATGTTTTGAAAGTGGCTGTGTCCCCAGTGCCTGGCATAGAACAAGCACTCAAGAAAAGTTTGTTAAGTGAATAACTGTAATGTATAATCCATGTCTATACAATTGACCCCTGAACAACACAGGTTTGAACTGCGCGGGTCCAGTGATACGCAGATATTTCTCGATAAATATGTACAGCACTGTAAATGCATTTTCTCTTCCTTGTGATTTTCTTTAACACTTTTTTCCAGCTTCCTTTATTGAAGAATACAGCATATAATATACATAACATACAAAACATGTGTTATTTGACTGCTTGTTATTGGTAAGGCTTCCTGTCAACAGTAGTCTATTAGAAAAGTTTTTGGGGGAGTCAAAAGTTATACACAGATTTTAAACTGCAGAGAGGCTCAGCACCTCTAACCCCCATGTGGTTTAAGGGTTAACTGTGAAGCTAAGATTAAAAATTAAAATGCAGCTTAGAGTTTTCCAGGTGTGCACATTTAAAAAATAATTTGTGAATTATATACATAAAAGAATTTAATACGTGACAAATGTGGAATTTCTATTTGGCAGGGAAAGGACAAATCGGTCAGGAGGCGTGGCTGTGCATTTGGAAGAAAATTAAGTTAATTCCATCCCCCTCTATACATAGCAAAACAATTCCACATGGATTAGTCATGCAAATATATAAAAACTCAAAACGATTACAAGCATGAAGGGGAAACACAAGAGCATATTTCTACCATCTGAGAGGTGAGACCTGTAAGGCGGGAGGAGAGGTAAGGGAGAGCTGAAAGTTTTTTGTGTCAGCTGAATAGGAGCCAGACGGGCAAAGTGGGAGCAGCCACATAATGGCTGGTGCTAACAGAGGACCTTTCAGACACTGGCTCCCTGCTCTTCACCACACTAGAGGTCTTGTCATCAACCCATTTTACAGCAGAGGAAACCAAAGCTCAAGGAAGGAAAGCAGCTAGCCCAGTCACCTAGCAACACGTAGGTGGTCCCTACTCCAGGTTTGGTGAGTGAGTGGGAACCTCTAAGGGTGTTTGAGCAGGAGCATGACCAGGCGTGTGTGGGAAGGTCACAGATGGATGGCTCTCAGAAAAACGGCTGCCTATGGGACAGCTGAGCCACGTCCTTGCTGTGTAAACTTGAGTTATTCCTCTGTAGGATGGAACTAAAGATGCAGACAGGGGCACCTGGCATAGGCTTGACTCGGGGCCTGGTGGGGCTTGGCCTAGTGCCATACACGCGGGAATGTTGGTACTGACATCTGATGGGTTCCACTAGTTCTCACTACCATTAGTGGGTGGGGATGGAGGGAGGAGCGAGGCGAATACTGATGTTTTCCGATAATGAGACTGATCCAAACTCTGCGGTATGGGAACTTGCTGAATCTTTGTAACAATGCTGCAAGGTAATAAGAAAATTACAAATGCCCCAATGCCTCCATTTACTGAGCTGTTTGCCATGTGGTGGGCACGCTTCTAAAACGTTACACAGATGAACTCAGTTTATCCTTATAATGACTTTGTGAGGCTGATCCTATCATTATACCCCCATTTGACAGATGCTGAAACTGGGCCTCAGAGAGAAATAATGTGCAGGTACCCACAAAGATGGTGAGCAGCAGAGCCGAGTTAGCATCTGTATGAGTTTCCTATGACTGCTGTAACAAGTCCCCACAAACTTGGTGGCTTAAAACAATACAAATCGATTATCTTCA